ATATTGTTGCAGGCAGGTTGCAAAGTTTCTGTGGTTCAGAGTTCCAGTTATATTCCTTTTCAGGCTGGACTCTTCCCCCCCCCCCCATCTGGACTTCTCCTCCCTCCTTCCATTCACAAGGCTTTTCCAGTCTTTCTTCTTAGGCAGACAGGCCACGGAGAGGAAGAGTCCTGGTTGCCTTCCTCCCCACCCTTAAATAGGACTTACATGAGGCGGGAATCCTTTGTTTCCCAAACTTGACCCCCTTTCTCTTCCAGTGGAAAGTTACAAGAAGTCCCTGGTAATGTTTAGTATCAGGTGACAAGACCACCTGACTCTGTAGGATTACAGCGTCCATGAGTCCCTTTCTACAGTCCATTGTCCTCGCTGATTGGCCATGAGCCCTGTCTGGGTTTTCCATTGTTGTACCTGAAGTGTTAGCAGTGGGCGTCACCCAAAGTAACATAGTTGAAATACAGATACATAGTCAATATTCCTAACTTCAGATACAGAAATGATACAGGCATACAAATTGGATAATCACATTCAATAAATCATAACCTTTCCAATGATATCTCACATGAGCCATCTTGCATAAAGAATATCTCAGTTATGTCGTATTCATATCATAAGCATATTTTCATAAAGAATGTGGAATGAAACGTGTTGTATGCATTAACAGATATTTTAAAAAGTGTGTGTGTGTTTGGGGGGGAAGGGAGTTGTCTTTGAACTTCTGCTTGACTATTCGGAGTTTTAGATTTTGCAGTATGTTGTTGGAAAGGTAATTTCCCCTGTATTTGCAATAATGTCTCAGATTTGACCTATGTCTGTATTTTGAATAGTTTTAAGTTAATACACAGGTTTCTCCACAGGTACCGAATATACTAAATTTAGAGAAGGTTTTTTTCGGTGTATGAGAAGCATCTATTTCAGACAGTGCACTAGACAGTTGAAATAATTTTGCTATACTTCAAGATTCAGACAGTTGTACAGTAGATAGCAAACATAATCTTGCTATATTTAACAGAATGATTGTATTTCATCCTGTAACTATGTTATGACCCGTGCGTTGAAGAACACAGAAAACCAGGATGTATTTAACAGCCTTGACTCTGAGCACATAGTGACTGTTTCTGTTGGTGACTGCCGAGAGATTTGTTGCACTGCTGTTGCCTATTTGCATAGTGTATAATGAATTTTGGAACTAGATTGCGTCAGGAATACATTGATAATATTCCCATGGTTATTGTGAAACCTCTTCCTTGCAGCTCATCACAATAATATTGTTGTGGAGGGCGAGGATGTTTCATTACTATTTTAAAACAAGAATAAGTCTGTATGTTAAAGAATAATAATATGGAAATACAGAAGCTTCTATATGAATTTAAATAAGTGTGAGGTTTAATGACATAAGATCCCTTCATACAAATGCTGTAGGTGAGTATTTTGACTCTACAACATCCAGTCTAGAGATGGCAAAGGCCATCCAGTGTTGTGTTGATGTTTTTTTGTCTTGTTTCTTTGTTCCATGTAAATATCAACCAGATGAGCCGAACATATAGAGTGATAGAAATTAGCATGCAAGACGCGATGTTGCTGGAAATCCATGTGCACAGTTGCTTTCTGTGCTATCACATCATCTCTGAATGTGGTTTACAAGTGAAATGAGGTGTCTCAGCTTTCACCTAGAAAGTGCTTTACCTGATGAAACCATTGTACAGTGTAATCAGTTTAGCAGTTTCCTTACCTAAAAGGTCACTCTGAATGAGAGTAGCAGAGGTGCATTGCAAATAAAAATTGATGTTTCCA